CTCAGATCCGGTGGCAAACGAGATCTAGCTTCACTTGGCCAGAATAGTGTATATATCTTGTTCCTTGTGAGACAGAGACAATGGTGCGCCTTGAGCGTCAGTGAAATAGAGAGAGTGTGTGTGTCTCGTACCAGATATTCAACGAAGAAATAGGGCACCTGCAAGAGAGAAACCACCTTAAAGACAGAGGATTTTTACTTCGATGGTAAATACATCGATAATTTTGATGTATCTTTTACATTGATTATTGATATAAAGGAATTTAAAAATGGAGTTTTACATCGATGTGCAAAGCTATACTATTTTCAAACCCATGCAAAATTGAACCGGAATATAAAATTTATCCCGCTTCGATTTTTCACCTCAAACAAACGTGGCCCTATATGTGTTAAACTCTTAACATGCCATTTGCTGTCAGCAGATTTGGGCTCGTGAAACAGGCCCAGAGTTTTTTCCAGGTGAGGGTTGATCAGTCTGAGATGGGTTGGGCTCTCCCACAGACGCCCCACAGTTCCTAATACACAAGGGGGATATGAGCTATGGTGCAGATGTGGGTAGACTTGGCAATTGGGTTGGATGGGTTGGGTCAAGACCTTTCGGGTTGATTTCAGATCAGGTTGAATTTTGGGTTGAATTGTCAAATGTTTGACCTTAACCCTAAATGTTCGGGTTTTAGGGATGACCCATGGGTCAATTTGAATCATCACAAAAAATAACTGAAATTTAAAAAAATAAAGAAAAAACTACACATAAAATGACAAAATTAAAAGAATTAACCTTAAAATTCTAAATATAAAATAAAAATTTGAATATTTAATAATTTAAAGAGTAAATAATAAAGAGTAAAGACTAAATAGAAAAAATTAAAGAGTGGAAACTTCTAGTAATGTATAAATAGTCCCAATTATTAGACTTGACAATCGGGTCAACGGGTTGACCCATTACCCAACCCAACTCAATCCAGTTTTTTTCCGTATTGGGTCAGGTAAGGTCATTCTCACATTCAGGTAGCTAAAAATGAGACCCTAACCCTGTTTTTTTGAGTTGGGTTGGGTCAACTTTTTGCCAAGTAACTCAATCAGTCCAATCTTCTTTGTTTGATCATGGATTGAAAATTATGTTGAATTTACTTAAGACTCCATTTGATATTAGACTTGCCCGTGCCATGGATGGATCCACTATGTTTTGCATTGTGATTGTTTGAACCAACATCCATGTGACACTAGATGTAGATGTAGGGATGCAAATGGATTGGATCGGATTCGAATCAGGGTATATCCAAATTCGATCCGATACTATTAATTGTAGATCCGATCGGATTTGATAAATATGGATCTGAATTTGAATGCAATGAGAAAGTTGGATTTTTGGATCTGATCCGATCTGATTTGATTTTTTTTAATTAATAACTTATTAAAAAAAATTAGAATATATTAATTTAAATAAAGAAAAACAAAAACTACAAGTATCTTTTCAACTATTTTCATCATATATATATATGCTTTTTATAAAAAAAATAATATAACAAATTTACAAAAATATAATATAAATAATATATTTATAAATAAATAAATAACATATATATGTGTTGTGTGTCTGTGTTATATTTAAATAAATAAATAACATATATGTTGGAACGGATCTCAGATCGGATAGGTGGTGATCCGAATTCAGTCCAATTTTTTATTGGATCCTATTATTTGATCTAATCCTATCTGAAGAATCAAGAATATAGGATCAGACTTCGGATTGGATCGGTTTTTTTATATATGGTCATAAATATTATTTCTTTTTGGTAAGATAAATGTTATGATTTGTGTACCAAGTACCATGTCATGGTAAAAAAACAAATGTGAGATCACATCTACGCCCCATAAACGCCCCACATGCACATCTCAGCATGCATTGGGAACATCTCCCAAAGGACAGTTAAGATATGTTTTGGGGCATTTGTGGAGCACTCTCTGTGGGGTGCATATGTGACTTCAGTAAGAACTTTTACAAACCTTGCATAGGTTTCCCTATGTTTCCCTTCCTTTCCCTACCTTTTCCTTCAAACCAAGCATAGCCTAAATGTTCAGAGAACAATCACAATCAATAAAACCTTCTAAGAACAAAGTTCTTGATCATATCTGAATAGCAATAAAGTTGTATTGTTTTTGCTGATGTGGAAATTGTTTTTCTTTTCAAAATAAAACTATTTTGTCAGTGTTTTACAATATGAATGTTTTTATTTTCATTTGTTTTTTAAATTGTAATATAAATAAAAGGCAAAAACATGTTTTTGAACTTTCTTTTATTTTTTTTAAAGGGAAAAAATAAGTTAGCTTTGTTTCAAAAAAACAACACATTTTTTAATCATTAAAATAATGTTTTTTTTTTAAGTTTTGAAGACAAAAGACACATATGCAACCAAGAACATGTTTTCATTTGTCAGAAACAATCTAATTTCAAATAAGATGATTTTGATTTATTTATGAGATCGACAGAAAGAAAACAATTCAAAATGTAGAATGTCCTTCCTTACTGGCAGGGCAATGGTTAGAATTTGTTGCACTTTAATTCTAAACGGCGTGTACATTTACATATGTAGGAATTAATATAGTGGAGAGGAAAGTAAATAAAGTAATTATGGTATGTGTACAGGGCAAAAGCAATTATCGGCATTAATTAATAATTATCACTATCATCCAATTATCCAGCCTTATTTAATATCAATGTTTTAAAAATCGATCAGAAAATGAAATCATTCTGACCACCGGTTTCTAGATTAATGATTCAATCGTCTGATTTGAATAAATAATCTATTTTGATAAAAAATTTAAAATAATAAATAATAAAAAATTATTAAACGGGTCAAATGAATCAATAGTTTCATCGTTGGAGTCAATAAATCATTAACATATCCAACAGTTTTTTATCAAGAACCGAGATTGAAATAAAATGAAACAAATTGGCTGAACACTTGAAGAGTTCATAGGCGGAACGGTCTGAGTCAACATTGATTCGAAAACATTGGTTAATACTAAAAAAATTAGTATTTGTACGTATTGATTGCTCGATACTCTTTTTTTTTTCAATTTGTTATTTGAAAGAAGATTTATGGGGATGGATATTAACAGTCCTAACTCTAAATATTTTGTATATCAATGATTTTCAAACCGATATTAAATATATCCTATCAATACTACAACAAATCACTTCTTCTGATAATATCATCAATGGTCGTGCATGCACTCTCATTCCCATTCTACAACAGTAGTAAAAACTAAAAATAAGATAACATAAAAAATCATAACTGAAGAGATTAAACGCGTTCCATTTAACATCATATCAAATCATTCAAATAATGGGACCCTGTACAAAACTAGCAAACTTTCATGCTCAAAGTTGACATTGGTTGGGTTAGCTCAATCCGTATGCATATGAATGAACGTCATCATGGCAATAATAGATACCGTCATTGATGAGGTTGGTTTTCAAGGACACATCATCCAATCCAATCCAATTCATCCAAGTAGGTGATTATTTAGGGGTGGATTCGAGTTGAGCCGAGTCAAATAGTATAGGCTCAAGATCGGCTCGAGACTATTCTATAAGGCTTGAGTTCAAGTTCAAATTCAATTTGAGTCAGAATCTTGAACTCGAGCTTGGCTCAGATCAAAAGTTTATAAGCTTGAATTCGACTCGATTCAGCTCGTTTTATATTTTATTATAAAAATATTTAGAAAAGGTATTTTATAAAAATAAAAATTTTATATAAAAATATAAGAATTATAATATTTTTATTATATATATATATATATATGCGAATCGGCTCACGAGCCGAATTTTAATAAGCTCGAACTCGACTCATTTTAATAATCGAGCCACTAAATTATGGTGCCTGTAGTGGGGTTCTTCTTCCAAAGCCCACAACCCAAGGTTGGGTTGGGTGACAAGGATTGAATTAGATCCCACTTTCCAAGGCATGGGCCCAAGCCCAGCCGGTGCTCAAAAACCGGGTTGGTTTGAACCACGAACCACGAAAATTGTCCTACCTCAAAATTGTGTGGAGATATTGCACGAAATTTGTCCTTGTCCCTCAACGCTCCACGTCTCCATCCAGCAGCATCAATCCATGGACATCATAATTTAAAAAAGGAATGAATAAGGATTAGGATTTACGGCCGCAACTTGGGCGGGTCCGACCTCAGCTTTTGCGTAGGTGAGGTCTGAGTTTTCACTTTTCAGGTTTCAGGATGTTCTAGGTCATAAAATTTTGGCCGCTGTACAAATACATATATTTTATTTATATTATATTTTTATATAAAAAGATGATAAACCTACGGATATCAAGTTTTAATTCATTTTACAATTAAATTTGCACAAAAATATATTTATAAATTTCTTTAAATTGTACGAATTGACATCTCTACCCCACAACGCCTAATAACACATGTCCGCCATGTATTGAAAATATCTCCTCATAATATATCAAAATTGATGATATTATCATTGGAAGATGTTCTCGATACGCGGAGATATAGTGTGAGGCGTTGTAAGGCGGAAATGTAAACTCAAATTATACTGTATAAATTTGCATTTATATTCCTTCTAAACTGAGCCTTCAAACCGAATTCGACTTTGCATCTTAGAGTTGAGCGTAGGTCCACCTCACCTCGGCTCGAACCAATCCGTCCGAGTTGTACCCCTCAACCTCAATGAATGTAAGGTTGACCTTTTCTTGGGATAACTAAGGTTGAGTATTTTTTATTCATGCACTAACTCAACATCAGATATCAGACGGTTTATATCAATTAATCCTATAATTTTAAGCTGTTTGCGCTAACACCTTATCAGTAAACTTGGTTTTTGTTGGCTGTTTAGAAGCTGGACACCCTGTGTTTTCATTTTTTTTAGTTTATTTGGTGGAAGTATATATCCTTACCAAACGGCACCTTACTTTGTCTTCTCAAAATTTGGGATATGGATAATCCTCCTCTTGTGGGGCTCCCTTCTCTAAGTTGGCTGGATGTCCAAATCCAACTTGACGTGGCATTTATTGAAAGAGGGCGCTGAGTCGAGAGCTTCTGCTGAAACTGGAATTAGCTCAGACCGAAGAAGTAAGAACATTAACATTAGGGAAAGGTGTATGACTGTGTTTGTGTGTGCAAGAAACCCCAAAACATGGCGAATGAAGAACCAGGGTGTAAGAAGAAGGTGATGATCGCTATTGATGAAAGCGAGTGCAGTCACTACGCGCTCAAGTGGGTACTCGACCATCTTCAAGATTTCTTCCCCACGTCGTCGCTCATCATCTTCACTGTTCAGTCTTTGGCTGATTTCGCTTACCTCTCTGCCGCGTCTCCCGTTTCTGGTCGCATGTTTTGTGTTGCTACCAGTTACGATCCACCGGTATCCTTTTTTTGTGCTCGGGGGATCTCAGTTTTGGTTTCTGAAGTTAATCGTCTTTCTTTCTTCTCTTGTTTTCCCTTTTTATTCCCTTTTAGAGACCATGATTTGTTCTTTGTCTATGACCTCTAGCTGATTGCAATGGTGCTACTAAGTCACTTCCTGGTTTTAGGGAGAAATTCGGTGAAAGTAATGAGTTTTGGGTGTAATTTTTTTTTTTTTTTTAATTTTGGTTTTGGTCTCCCCTGAAGGTCTTAGGAGTAATAAACTGATTTAATCTATGGATTTAGTTGTCTGACTTGTTATTTTGATGGATTTGGAATTATTATGATACCATGACTTTTATTTACTAGTTTCATGTTTTCTTTGTTACACAGATCCCGAGTTGATTAAATCTGTACAAGAACATCAAAGGAAGGCCGCTTTGGCTCTTCTGGAAAAAGCTAAAGACATCTGCGCTACTCAAGGGGTACTCATTTCACTTATTTCTTTTCTCCAAAATTTTCCGAACAAAATTTTAATTTTGTTTCTAGCTGATCTGGAGTCACAAACATAATTTGTCAATTGAGATACCGTAGTGATTCAATGGCATGGTACAACCAAGAAGATCCTTAGATTGCTCAGAAAAGGCAACGTTTTGCAACCCAAACCGGTTGACCCGGGAATTAGGCTCTTCTGCTAGTAATTTTGATGATTAATCCAAGGTGGTGGTAGAACAATGAAACATTTGGTATTTCTAGTTGACCATTTGGCTTAATGCAGTGTTTTCTAAAATGAATATAAGGAATAGAATATGAAGAACCTGGAAACTTTGGGATTGGGTGCGCAGAACTTGGTACAAATTACAAATGTAATGATTGTGAGGGCAAAGGAATATGAAAATCTTTGGGGAGCCAAACAATTTCTTCCTTCAGTTGAAGTCAATTGGCAAGATGTTGAATGACTCTAATAAGGATATTCTTCTTGATGGATGTAATGAAACCCCAGAAATGATGATTTTCCATAGTATCTCTTAGAAATTTCACTAGCATCTGGAGGACTTTCAGAGGTACTTCTCTGTTTGGAACTAGAGAAACCCATGACCTTCTATACTTGAGGATAAGAATTATGCCTTATTGGTTGTGGAAACCTGCTGGAACAGCCTAAGGCAGTAGTATAAACTCATAAAACGTGTCTTGGTTAGAGACGATCTTCTGTATCCCTGATTTCTTCTTATTTATCTAGACAAAAGCAAAGCTTTATGGATCTACTATTTTATTTATTTTGGAATTTGGATAAGATGCTTCTTTCTTTAATGAGATACTTGGTCATGTTCTGAAAACTATATGTGGAAATAACTAAACAGAAAAAACGAGTAAAAAATGTTACTTATTCTTTGCTGTTAATCTTAGATAATTTTATATCTTTATTGCTGAAAAAGATTCTATATTTAATACTGATCAAAAGAAAAAAAAAGGATTCTTTATTTAAGTTTGGTTATAGGTTAGCTATGGATTGGAAACAAAATCTAATCCATATAATAATATTGTATAAAGAATAGCCAAAAACTCCCATTAGGAAATGGTAATGGTATTCCATTAGCATGCTGGTAAAGTGATGGTATTCCACAAGCATTTCTGATCAATAGCTCCTGTCTTTTGTTTGTCCAACTACATATTGTTTCTAGTTTTCCTTTTTATGTCTGATATCAATACATGATCAAGATGTGTCCTTCTGCATCTAGACATGTGCACCTTCATGTGCATGATTGAAATATAAAAGTTATAGTTTTTTCTTTTTTTATCAGAAAAGGTGATTTTATTATGAAAAATGAGATGAGAATTAGTACAGAAATTGAGTAGCCTCGGCTACCCCATTAGACTTTAAAATTTCCACCTAATATTTTGCTTTACAGCCTTACAACTGAGCCCCAATATAATAGTTATAGTTTATTTCACAATAGGTTGTTGCAGAGACAATCACAGAAGTTGGGGATCCAAAGGAGGTCATATGTGATGCAGTTGAAAAGTTCAAGATCAATCTACTTATTTTAGGTAGTCATGGACGGGGAACTCTGAAAAGGTCAGTAGTTTTCCTTTGGAGTTGAATTTCCAGTGCAACAATGTGATGTTGCATGTATATCCATATGCTCTCAAATCATTACTTTCTAGCCTTAGTTTAACTTTAGGGTTCTTTTTGTGTGCAATCTTTATTTTTAAGTGTGCTGGTTTTATTTGCTCTTGTGCTTTGTATTTTGCAAGATTCACTTGCGTTTTATAGATTCCTTGCAAATTACCCCTAACCTTGTGCAGTGTAAGGGCAACTATAATAGTTGAGTTCATATGCTACCAGAAGCCCATTTTACCCTTTTATGTTTGCATCTTGGCCAAAATTTCTAGCGGCACCCTTGGTGAAAAATGGGAACACTGACAAGTATTTCCAGCGGGACATTGACAACACCACCTTGTTGTAAGGGAGGGGTGTAGGGCATTTCATGGCTATCTCATAAAAGGTCATTACCCATTACTGGTCACAGAAATATGGGGTCTAGGGAGGGGTGGTTTGGATATGGACATTGTATTTTATGGCTATCTGTTATTGACATCTTCTCCCTACAATTTCCTTATTAAGCTAATCAACTGAGAGCTATTGGTGCTAAATTTGACAATAATCAATGGAGAGGGGGAATTGGTTCATAGTCAGAATCGGAATCACAATCCCTCGGAATTGGATAGGAATGGTCTATTGCCATAGTCTGTTTGGTTCAGACAGGAATTGGAATAAGCTGGAATGGGATTTCACTCCCAAGGGAGGGGGAGGGAGGAATGGCCATTCCACCAGGAATGGGAATGGGATTCTGATTCCACCCAACCAAACAGTTGGAATTGGAGTGGATCATTCTGATTCTGATTCCAAACCCCTATTCCCATGAACCAAACGGGCCATCAGGATTTCATGTAAAACGGTAGCGATCAAAAGGAATCTACTGAATTACCATTTTCGATTGACCCATTTTCTAAATTCTGTTTCAGAAACATTTATTTTTGCTCTATGCAAACAGACCAACTACATGGCTCATACACATCTAAATTTCCTAATTGTGACAACTGGTTCTGTGCTTATGCACCCTAGTATATGACTGAAATATGACATATATGATGCTTAGGATTCTAATATCACAAATGGCTTCTAAGGTCGTGCGTATGCTATAAATACATTCTACCAAAGTGGTTTCTTTTGTCCATCCTTTAACTTCAGCTCTATTCTCTTGTAGGCAAATTCTGGCAGCAGCTAATATACTGTAGTGGCTCACCTCATGATTTTTGTTTTAAAAGTTCGAATAAGAGAATATATTGATAATAATTCATCTTAAAATGAATAGAGAATCTGCTTAACACATCCTATTAGATGAAAGTTTCTGAAATACAGTTGATGTATTATTTTATAGTTAAGTACTAATATGAATTCGTTGAAACAGGGCTTTCTTAGGAAGCGTGAGTAACTATTGTGTTAATCATTGCAAGTGTCCTGTTCTTGTAGTGAAGAAACAAGAAGAGAAAGCTTGATCACTTTACAAACTTCAGATCATTTGGAAAAATACAAAATTCCCCCATGCATATGTTGTTTGATAGAGTGAAGAGATTGTTTTGTAAGGAAGCAGACTCAAGCTATGGATATTTGAATTTGGCTGTTATAGATTTTCTCTTCCTTCTTTTCTAATTCAGAATTTCTGTTAAATGCTTTTCGGTTTCGGCTTGCCGAAAGCATGTGTCGATGCAATCCCTCTGAATCTGGACTCCGTCCTCACAAAATTTGTACTCACACCGTCCACTTGCAGCAGCCCTACAGGATGAAAAAAATACAAGTAGAGAGATGTTCCAAATGCACGGCTGTAAATGTTGTGAGTGCGGTATGAGTATAAATATCGCGAGTACTGAATCCGGTCTCCGATTCTGTCCCTTCCTAAGGATCATAGAAGAATTTCATCCATAAATGAAGGGCATAGTCTGTTATGTCAGCCGAGTATGAGATATTCCACATGGAGTAGAGCTTTTCTGCTTGATGAGATATTTATCATCTGAGATTGAAGGCCGTTTGGGAGGGCTTTACTTTAGTGTAGATTGAGATGCTTCGAAGAAGCTGCCAAAATTAACTTCACCGGAGAGTCGATTTCATATGGGGCTTACCTTGCAACGTAGAAGCTATTACATGAAAGTCCTTCCCAAGAGGGCACAGAGAGTAACGGGATTTTTTACTCACTTTTCCTACCCATTCTCTACCCGCCGTGAATTGCAGTCACACATCTTTCAATTCATAATAGAGATGCGGGTAAAGAGTGGGTAGGAAACTGGGTTCCAGAGAAATCAGATTTGGTGTAATTGCAAGTCTAAAAAAGCTTTGATTTGCAAACGGGATTTTTTAGTTACTTTTCTTATTCACTCTCATTCATGTTATTTTTACAATTCTCATCTTCCTTCAACAACAGAAAGGAATAGAATGTAAGCATTTGCAGATTAAAATTAATGGAATCATTATATCATGTATGGTCCTACTAATCCCATTTTCGGAAGTTCTAGCGGAAAGAGAAGCAATGTTGCTGACTATCGAAAAGGAGTGGAGCAGTGTTCGAATTGAAGGGGATGGAAAATTGATTATTGACCGTCTGAAGATTAAAAAAAGAGCTCTATCTCTCCTCTTTGGCGTACAGAAAACATAATTTTGGATAAGAGATTTGGGCTTGCATGTCTCTTTTCATCATATTTTTAGAGAAACCAATCATTCGGCCAGAACCAGAGATCTCAGGTCTGGAGAGATGTCCAGATTTTGGAATGATCTGATAAAGTTCGTTCTGATTGTTGGGGTGTGGCCTGGCCTCGCCTCTCTTAACTGAATTTCCTGCTATTAAAGCTGAGTTTGGAAGGAGTACAAATGTAAATATGTAAAATGCAAAATCTTATATTTTGTATGTATTTACGCCGTACATATTTGCATTTGTACTCTTTCCAAACTGAGCCTAAAAGAAAAAGAAAAAAAAAAAAAAAAAAAAAAACAGAGAGGGACCCCTCTGCTTTTTCTTCTCTTGGGATCTATCTTCATTCATTACAATTTGCAAACCATACTTTCTCACCAACTCAGCAGTCACCATTAGACCTGTTCATGGGCCGGGCCGGGCTTTTACTCTTCATTAATGGAAATATGTTAGGCCCGAGCCCGAGCCCGGCCCGACCAACGGGCCTACAACTTGGGCCCGAGCCCGGCTCTGATAAAAAGCTCGAAGCCCGACTTAATAAAAAAAATAGAATGTTTCCCTATTCAATAATCAATATAAATCAGAATTTATTTACACTAAAAAAAGAATATAAATTCAAAATTTATTTACATTAAAAAAAATATAAAGAAGGGAAAGAGGATGTGGAGAAGAAGGGTTCGGCTGGAAAAATAAGGGAAAGAGGTGAAAAAAAGAGGGGTATTCAACTAGGGTTTTTAGGTTTAATTATAGGTCGGTTCGGGCTGGGCTATTTTGGCAAATCCCGAGCCCGGCCCGAATTTATTACGGGCTGGGCTTTTTGGCCTGAGGTTAAGCCCGTGGGCCCATACACCTGTTCAAGCCCATCCGGGGGCCGGGCCGGGCCAGCCCGTTGGGCCACCCGGCCCATGAACAGGTCTAGTCACCATGCTGTGTTAAATTGCCATTATCATGAGCGTCATCATCATCATTTATTGGGTCAACTTGGAAAGCCAATTGGTGATGTTTTGTGTTTTGTCACTCCATATACGATTTGGTTAATCCATCCTCCACTCCACTAAGTCAACCACAATACCCGAGTTCACAACACATCTCTTATTGGGAACATCTCTCATTGACAAGGAGATGTTCCCAATGTACGCTGAGATGTGCATGTGAAGTGCCTGTGGGGCGCTGATTTGATCTCCCAATACTCTGCTGTACTGCACCAAAGAGATCAGACTTGTGAGATGCGAATTGAGATCTATTCCTCATAGAGTTCACCTCACACTGATCTCACAGCCACGTCCCATCCTGTATTGAGAACACCTCCCCATGAATAATAAATGCAAGTATGGGAGATATTCCCGATGTACAGCCAGAACAGGTTGTGCGGTCAGTGTGAGGAGCAGATCTGGACTCATGACATGCCACATGTCCATAACCCCAAAATCCTTCATGTCAGCCTTCAACGAGGTACAAGGCCTTCTATTCTAATGGCATGAGCTACTCTTCTGTTCATAATGGATTGGGATTTCCACGTTTGAATACATACAGTGGAACCATATAGACTTCGGTTCATGAATTGCAGAATAAGTAGGTTTTCCTAAGCTACGTTGAAGCCATCTAGACCTGTGCTGCCATGACGACACCCTCATCATAACAGCAATGAGGTGCCCACCTCAAGATTTTTTCAAAATCCTTCGGATTCCCTTCATGAATTGTTTATTCTAAGTAGGTAATGAAGATTGGAACAGCACCATTAGATAGGTTCCACGCTGAACAACAATAATCTCACTCTCTCTCTCTCTCACACACACACAAAGGGGCATTTTGGGTATCAGATTCATATTTATTCCATTTTGCCAAAATTATCGGTAGAAACCTTTGACAAGGGATGTTCAAGGATTAAGGGTAAAACTATGGGAAGGTTTAGTAAGTGCTAAAAACCTTAGGGGGAGGTTTAAGGATTTTTCCTATTAATTAGAGGAAAAAAATAACATATTTATCCCACATTCACAGATACAGTGAGATGCCCACACACTCCCCAACCATGAATGACCGGAAAGAGAAAAGTATAGAGACAGAAGTTAATATTTGGATTCTAATGAAGTCCATTTCCTTCTCAAAGGCCAAGAATGACAAGCAGTGGTTTGTCCTTCTATACGTTGAGAGAGAGAGAGAGAGAGAGAGAATTCTAATAATAGAAATACTTTTCATACTATACGTTTGATGATGATGATAAGTTAATGGTGTGAAACTGTGAACTTCGCATAGTGCATAGGAACCTTCTGACGTCTCATCTTTCGCTACCGTGCGTTACCTTTCCAAGCGAAGGAAGACTTGTCAGCAAGTGGAAATGATGAAGTTTTGAAGATTTTCTCTTTCGTCCTGAATTTTTCCCCTCTTATGAGTGCTGATGAGATATGGTTTCATTTAAAGGAGGTGGCTGACTCAGCCTGAGGGAGGATGCATTGTTTGGAAACCTTCTTGAATGGAGTGTTTCAGCAAGGATGCTTATCGAGAAGGCTGGACTGAAAAGTTTCAGAGTTGACAACTCAGAGGTTTCAATATCCAAGCCAATTTCTTCATCAAATCCAGCAATTCCAATTCCAGAGCGATGTTTGAACTCATCCATTTGGTTAAAGCAAAAATTAAATGTAAACTGTGATCTCCTCATAGAAGAAATGCAATATGTTGGTCCATTCCGTAAAGTGTGGAATGAAAAATGAAACAAAACACTATAAGAATTTGATTGGAATTTTCAGACATAAAATTCTGTCCTTCAAGATCCATTCATTTTGCATTAACTCTATTCCAGTCACGTGGTTTTCTGAGTATTCTGAGCTCCTTTGGCTAGTATCTTTGTGATAACATGAGTAACAATTCCAATGGGACAAAATAATAGGCACAGAGAAACTGAGTGCCGGGTCTCAATCTCATTGTCCAATCCATCTAGATACACTTGCCTGCATAGATACCAAAAGACATAAATATGGAGTTGCAATTCCAATAAAAATACCTTATCAATTATCACCTCCTTAACAGAGACAAGGTAATCATACTCACTGCAGGTAAAAACATGGAGAGAGAGAGAGAGAGTGATAAACCTTGCAGCAAAGAGATCTACAGCCAACAAGTGTATCCATGCAGAAGCTAAAGTCATCTCACTTGTGAACATCTTTGCTATGCTGGACAGCTGAGCAGAGCCAAGAATTTGTAACCAATAAAGAAATTGGGAAGTGGAGATCAAGAAACCTTTTCCCCTTTCTTTTTCTGATAATCAACAATATAACCTTGTTGGAAAATCAATGGGGATATCATGACAATTTGAATCTGTAACATGCTGCTTGAGTACATACCTCCGGTAGCCAGTATTTATTTGCAAACATCAACCGTATGGTGTCAGGTGTCCAAGAGAGGTATAAGAGATATGCATACAGAAGTCCAAGGATGACATATGGCACAGTACTCTCAATTGACCTCTTGGTCTGCACTAAAAGGGATGCAATAAAGCAAGTATGTATGTAATTGATCTCTAGTTCAATGTCATTGATATAAGCCACAAATCAATCACATAAAGCATACCAACTTAGCTTTGGGAGCCAGAACCATAAGTGTATAAAATGGCAGAACAGCAACTGTTCCCAAGGTGAAAACACTCCTAGCGATTTGAGAACTCACAAACCCTGAAAGAGAAAATAACCATCACAAGAATTATAGAACCTTTTGTTAATAACAGCACCAGAGTCAACAACATTGAAAAAAAATATATACGAAAGAAATATGAGGACCACAATATAAGGTTCTCAACAATGTTAAATTGCAACCTACAAGATGGATTTTGCAATGTAAAAGAATATAAAGAAATATGAGAACATATTCTATTCTCTCATATCAAAGGTATCAGTTGAAACTCCTTTATTTCCATAACTTGATGGAGGGAATTCTTCAATGCTGACGAGGGCTAAATAATGAGACTCTGCATCAAGGAAATAAGGGAATACTAGTGCGACAGTTAAAGAAGTGATTAAAGAGGTATATCATCAGTGACAATGTACTATATACAACAAACAATAAAATATTAAAAACCATAAATAGACATTGATGGGAGCATCTAATTTATCATCATAAAAAAGTGAATATCCTTAAAAACAAAGTATAACTCTCACATCTTTACTTCTTTCGTTTGAGGCTCTTTAAAATCATCTTTATCTTGACTTGTACGGCCATATTATTAGATTAAATATTAATTATCTGTTATTATGATTTTAAGGCCCATAATTTAACAAGGGATATGGCACTCAACAGAATAGAATGGTGGAACAGGATTATGCAGAAGACCCCATATAGTTGGGACAAGGTTTAATTGAGTTCAGCTGAGTTGAGTATTACAATGGTTATTATGTTAGCATATGACTAATTGATTATTGTAGGAGACAGATTTGGGCGCATTCCATTTTGATAAATCAATACATCTCCAGTGAGAGGAAACAAGTAAACCACAGTTGGTAATGATAAAAGTCAGAACACTTGGTGTTTTTGTATTTAAAAGCATGTATCCTTTGACCAATGATTAAGGATGTGCCCCCATATAAACAATGTGATATACCCAGATTAATTCATTTTCATAAACCAATATATCTCTAGTAAAAAGACACAAGTAAATCACTGTTGGTAATGATAGAAGCCGAAACATGTTAGTGTTTTTGTATTTAAAAGCATGTATCCTTTACCAATGATTAAGGATGTGACCCCATATAAACATTGCGATTTGCCCAAATCAATCCCCTTATTATAAAGAGTTAATTATTTTTAAACCAATTATTAATAAAAAATTTAAAAGAGCTGTATATTCTAAAGAATCCAGTTACAGCTCTTGATTCAAAGGTCTACAATCAACAAATACAAACACCTTTTATTCTTAATTTTATATAAAATTCTTGTTAGGGTGTTTCTATATCCCATGATTGTTTCTAATTGCTTTTGGAAAAATTGGTAAAATGCCGTTAATATTTCATCAAAACTTGAAATATTTACACAAGAAAAATTGAGAACTTCAGTGATATATTGAAGTTTTTCAAAATAAAGGGAAAATTCTTAAGGATATTTTGATATTTTTTTTATTCCAAGATGTTGTAGTTCCAGACCTTGGGGAAATGCAAAATATTTTCTTAGGTTTTATTAAAATTCTGAAATTTTCTTATGACCATGTGCACAGACATGGTTATGGTCATAAATGAATGTTTTTCTTGCTCTAGTAAACCTTGGGAGTTGGCTGCAAATTGACAAGCCATATATAAAAATGTGAAGATATAATTATTACATCCTCAATACAGTTGTGAGAAAATTAAATACAAAACTAATCATGTCCCAAATGAGTAAGATTCTTGACTTTATACGTATCTTTGTGTTAAATATATAACTGCAACAGCGTGAAACACTCCTTATAATGATAGCAATGAAAATAAGCTTCCCAATCCAAAGTGATCTCCTTCTTCCCCAACTTGGAGCAGGATTAAATTACTGAATAATTAACTCTTAATAATGAGGAAACACACATCAATTTTTTAAAGTGGCAGAGGTTTCAGACAAGGCACTACGATCTTCTAACTCAGTGTGAGGCTTTAAGTCTCAGGAGATTTTTCTTTTAAGAAAATACATGAACCAAAATGGGATTAATTATAGAAATATGCATAAAAGGATAACAGTTTTATGTAAGAAGAATGTAAAAATGAATTGATCGTCATATAAACAAGAAATAGGAATTATTAAGAGCTCTAAAAAAAATTAATTGCACTTTCAAAACTCTCCATGGCTATCAGAAAGCTTCCAGTGTAAAAAGGAAAAAAATTGGGTGTTACAAACACTATATAGTTAAATAGATCACTTAGACACAAATATGGAAGAAAAAAGAAAAAAAAAAAACCCTTAAAATTAATCTTTAACTTGATCTTTTGATGAGAACCCTTAAAGCTAATAAATGACAAAGCTTGTTCTTGACACAAGACATCTCAATGTTTCAACATGTCCCTTACAATTTTGGGTGTGACCCTCAAGGTTGAGCCTTGGAGCATTTTCCTTAAGTTGAGACAAGTCTCAAGGCATCAGCTTCACGTGCCACTTAAAACACTAAACCACAGTAAAATTTGGGGTGTAAGGTGTATTGGGACACAAACAAGAATTCATGCTCAGGAACTGATTATCAAACAACATAATATGCAATATGGTATCATTATGAATATTCAAAAGTTTAATATACAGTTAGAACTGCATGCCTTGCTTAAGTGGCTAGAGTGTGTTGAGAACAACTTCACTTGAAAATTGATGCACTGAGAGAAAGACACTGGTTGCATCAAGGTTTCAATGATATGATTGATGTGTTGAAATAGATTCCTAGAATATCAGCATGTAGGTTGGAGCTATTACTTATTAGGTCCAAATGAAGCTCTTAATCCTTCAGGTTAGTCTAAAGATTACTCTCCTCGCTGAAATCAGATAAGATCTGGTTTTTATGGAGTTGCATGCTGTGGAGAGGCCTATCATTACACCCAAGCATCTGCAAGAGGATGATTTCAGCTTCTACCACTGAGAAACAAGGAAGCTTGGAATTGACAAGAGACAAAACCTAAAAGTGAATTTGTCAATTGTTGCATTTATTTTGAGTATCAGCCAGTCAAGTTACTTGTGGGAGATCATACACATTGTATTCAACAAGGACAGTACCACCAGAGGGTTGAACAGATATGTTGCATCTGCCTAGGAGAATTAAGAAACTCCCCAGTCCCTTGCATGACATGTGCAAATATGGATATTTTAAAGAACTGCATTCTCCTAGGGTTAAGAACCATAAGTCTGAAAAGCGAGCCAAAAGAGATATTTTCTGTTTTGTAAGGCAAGTGACATGGAGAAGGGCAATCTTGTTTGTGGAAAGCCATGGGAATAAGACATTGCCGCCACATGATCTTAAAATCAAGAATAGAGATTAATGCTCTTTCCTCATTACCCAAAAGACATGCTGCAAAGAAGGCCATGAGCACCCTGAACATTCTATCACGAAGAAGACATGTGAACCAAGTCTTATCTCTCTAAACCCTGGGATGCGATGCAGGGGTTTTTACTTATAGAATGTATGGAGAAACTTAATCTCCCTCTCCTTAATAGGATCGTGCATGGAGAAAGGAAAAATATTAAGGTCTGATGTCCAGGCAGTCCAGATATTTTGAGAGTTTCTACCCGACCACAAGTATAGTATGAGAAGTGTTAACCAGCAGAAGGCTAATCTCAACAGTAGAATTTTCTGTACCAAATGGGCGAATGAAACAAGCAACCTAGTTATAATTCTATAGTTCTGAGATTTTAGTAATGAAATTCAGTCAGGAAAAAACCCAGTTATGCAACCTTTCTGATAAAAATCTATTTGTATGGGAAAAAAAGAGTCAATGACAGAGAGGTTGAAGAAAAAGGAACCAAGATTACATGAAGCATATACTCCACGGCCTTTTCTGTGAGGTACAAAAGTTGCAATTTTTGGACTGAGGAAATGTCTTGATCCCCTTATGAAATTCCACTCACTGTATAGCATGCTCCCAATTCTTGGAACCTGTTGACCAAAAAGTCCAGTATTCATACCTCTGAGAGCAACCATGGATTTATGTTCCATCTCAGGTGTAGGATGAGATTGCTTTATCTTCCAAAACCAACCAACCTACAAGGATGACTCTATCGACATAAGAAAAATATATTACATCGCCAGAAACAAAACTTATCTTTGTACCAGATTGTGCACACTGGAAATACTTGTTATTATGACTCATGCTCCATTAAAGTGTAATATGATCCAGATGAAAGGAATTCAAACAAAAAAACTTAAGAATTTCTTTTAGAAAAGAACTATTATTATGACTCATGCTCCATTAGAGTGTAATATGATCCAGATGAAAGGAATTCAAACCAAAAAACTTAAGAATTTCTTTTAGAAAAGGAAGATATTTCAAAGTTAAAAATAAACAAAAAAGGAGGAGCTTTTAAAAGTTTAATAAGAGTCTAGGCTCAGATGCCAGTCTGTATCATTCGTGCTTAATTCATCATATTTTACATCTCAATTGCCCATCTTAATATCTAATATGTCCACTGTATGTCTATCTCTCCACTCTCCAGATCATGTGTAACTTGCTCTGAATCATCACAATATTATCATTTAGAGAAATCATTATCACCTTCCCAAGAATTAAATAATCAAAGTCAATGAAAAATAAGTACACCAAATAACCAAGAGAAAATCTAAAATTCATACCCACCTAAAATCTTGATGATGGATATGCTGTATCCAGATGGGTTAAATATGCATAAAACATAAATTAAGTACTGTAAATAGTTATGAAGCATTAAGATAGAAAACATCTGATACGATTATGGAGGAAGAGACGAAGAAATTTGGCATAATTAAATACAGAGGAATTCAAAATTGCATAATCAACCAAATTACCCAGATCAAAGTTTCTATTATGTATTAGAAAACCTTAACCAAAACTGTAAGGCATGCTTAATAAAATACATAGGTATTCACAAAATGAAAAATGTGCATAATAACAGAAACGTCTCAGTATAAAAAGCAAGACAGAAAGAACAATGGGCCAACATCACATTCCAGTTACCAAGTTGAGGAAAACCATAAAGGAAAAGAGAAAAGAGCTCCCATATTCCTGGTACATTTAATCTATGACTCGCAACATACTTTGGCATGACATTATCAGCTTGGAAATTGAAAAGAAAAGGTTATATAAGAGAAAAGTTTAATGGCCAACATAACTAAATCAGAAATCTAAGTATACCAAATATCCAATTCAAATCAACCAGAAATTTGGCAAACCAAAGAAACATGAAATGCCAAGATAAAAAGAAATTTCAAATTTCAGAAACATGCCAAGTATCCAACTCCACTGTACCCGAAATTTACCCAGTTAGCCGGGTGTATGAGTATAGCTACCAAACAGAAAACTGATAAAAATCAATCTACCGAGAAGAGAAACCAAACAACACCAAATATCTAGGTTCATCGTTCCTAAACGAAAATAGAGGAGCTATAGAAGCATTGAGGATACAGAAGTACTGACCTTGAGTGGGATATGAGAACGGAAAGAGCAAGCTAAAAGTACCATCTCGTCTGGGAAGCTGAGATGCCTAAAAAGTAAAAACACATTAAATCCAAATTAGCTTATGGGTATCTGCTTCTCCGCATAAAAATGCTACTTAATGAAGTGGTGTGGAATTCCGTCCTCGAGGGGCGGCGAAAGGACACGCAGCTCTCAGTCTGACCCCCAGACTGGGGGGTTATTGCCGCACTCAGCACTTCAGCAGGTTTCCTGATCCAACAGCATTCATGCCCACTTACACTATTTGCATTTTGTTTTTTGTGGTAATGGTTTTTAAAACCGACCCGGAAACCGAATCACCATCTCACTGGCAGGTCAATGATTCAATTGTTTGAATCGATGGGTCATATTATAAATTAAAATATATAAATATAAAAATAAATAAGTATATAAAAAATATAATAAACTTAGTCATTTATTTGATATTAAGGCTTAATTTGAAAGGAGTACAAGTAGTGCAAAAACTTGTATTTTGTATTTATTTGCACTGTATATATTTATATTTGTACTTTTTTCAAACTGAGCTTAAATGAAAAAAACAGAAAAAAAGAATAATAAATATCTAAATCCATTACTTAATTGCGTTAAATGGTCTAATGGTTCAACCGGCTAAACCATTGAATTCATTGACTTAGTCAATAGTTTTTTTTTCTTTTGTATATCTATCAATTAAAACAGTTCATAGTATATTTTTAGGTTAATGGTTTATGATGAATGGTGAATGAACACTTGAATAGAGTTATTAGTATTTATTTCAATCTTAGAATTAGTGTTATTGATATATTTGTGAAATTTGTAAGAGTTTCCCGATGTTTTTAAGTATATCCATATCTTTTCACTATATCCATGCATATTAAGAGTGCATTACTATATACAACTATATCCAAGTTTATTGTACGGTATGCAATACCAATATTTATTCTTTTCCTAACCTAGCCCATTTATGAAGATTTATTCTTTTCCTTTTTTACGAAAAAAAAAAGTAAAGACCTTAAACCCAACAAGAGGACTCCGGATCTTCTGCCCACGCCTACCCACAATACACTACCCCCCGTGAATTGGGAATATCTCCCCTTACATAATACTATACAGAGGATGAAATGTTCTCCATGTATGACTGTAATAAACGTGGACAGGAGATCCGGGCTCAAACAAGAGTCCATCCCATATGGATGTCATCAGGTTGAGAATTCAACAACTTAGGTTGGATTAGAGTTGACATCAGCCAACTTAACCTAGCCCAACTCACACCCTCAATTTAGGCCAACCCTAAGCACAACTATTTTCAATCCAATCTCACGATTGACTTGGATAGTGGTTGAGAATCTTGAATTTTTGGTTCGGTAGTAAGTCTTGAGTTGAAGATCAGATTGGGTTAGGGCTGCAATTGAAGGTTCGATACATTCAAGTTGTGTTTAGTACCATTGTCATGACTAAGTATTGAACAAATGTTTTGTGCAGTATTGTGTTTGATAATTGGCATTGCTCCTAAAATGTTCAAATGAAACATTTATACTCAATATGAAACCACTTTCATACACTTGATTCTCATCCAATGGTCATAAAAGTAAATGATTTCTGATGATTGGCTTATTATTTCACATGGATCAACATCTAAGTAAAGATCGAATTGTTCTACAAGCATAAAACAAAAAATCCTTTGTTTTAGAGGTAGGGTTTATGGTATTCCATGGTGCATATCCATCTTTGGTAGTATGCAATGCACTAGAGTATATCTCTACTCTGCCATGTAGGATGCCAACTAAGAGCCAGATCATTAGATTATTTTTTCAAATGGGCAGCTAATAGAGAAAATGCTAATTTGGTGTTTATATATCCCCAACATCCCTTGATTTATGTTTGTAGTAGAAGTGTTTTATTAGTGTTTTAATTTAATACAGACTCAACTATACAAAAAATTGGCATTTAAACGCAAAATACCTAGGTGTCACTCATATAACAGCACTTCAAGTATAAACAACCATGATACTAAAAATCACCTTAGTTAGGTGAGGATTAAGTTCAACTTTACCAACCAAGACTAATTTGTACCTCTATACCACCTCATTTAATCAAAGTCATTATATAGGACTAAAACTTAAATAGGGGTATTTTGAGTTTGGGAGGCAAGACCTCCATGGCTCCATGTGGATTAAGGGCCTCCATAAACTTTCCACATTTCACAACTTTCAAGAACCAATCTGACATTAAATATGGATCCCAACAGATCAGCTTAATTGGGGGGAGGGGATGTTTGGTATTGTGGCTTGGGTTCATCAATGCAAATTTGTAAAAAATGTGTTGTCCATCATATTAGGGGTGCAATCAAGCCAAATTAAGCTCAATTTTGGCATGTCTTGGCTTGGCTTTAAGTTTGAGTTCGAGTTCGACTCAAACTATATTTTTTAGTTCGAGCTCGGTTTGATTAAATATTCAACGAATTCAAATTTAGCTTAAAAGCTCAAAAATAAATATATTTATATATTATATATATGATATTTTTTATAATATATAGTATAGTTTTATATCATATAGCATATAAATTATAAAATTATATTTTTATATTCTATAATATATACGTATATATATTATATATATATGTACGTATATATTAATTGAGTTAAATTCATGAACTTTTGAGTCAAACTTTTTATTGGTCAGCTCAAGTATGAATAACTAATCGGGCTTACCCAAGATTTGAACTCGAATTGAGTCTAATTGAATTCGAGTTTGAACTATTCGATTAGAGCTTTATTTGATTGCAACCTCGCATCATATATGAGTGTCATTCCAATTATAAAATGTATATATCTATGAACTACCAAATTTGATGTTTTAGGTAGAAATATCAATTTGTATTTATCAACTCAAAAATCAAAATGTTTTCATAACATTTCAAGTAAAAAATCATTCTCTTGCATATTTATTTGTATTGATCAACTCAAAACGCAACAATGATACAACACCATGACCATTGTATCAAACACCTCCTCAATGAATTTGTGGAACAATGCCATATTCATCTCGGTGGTCAAGAATTCCACTACACCACCCAATAAACACATGGAAGATGCAAGTAGGGAACCTTATAAAATGGTTTTATTTTACTTTCTTTTTTATTCTTTTCTTTCCTTGAAAAACTATTGTGCGACCAACATCATAGGGCTGGTATTGGGGTGAGGCATAGGGGTGTAAATGGATCAAATTTGAATTAAATTAGACAACATCCAATTAGAAATTTTGATTCAATATCCGATGGATATTGAAAATTCGAATTTGAATTCAATTAAAAAATTGAATATTCTACTCAATTCGAATTTGACCAATTAATTATTTTATGTAATTAATAAATATATAAATTATTTATTATATACATAAATTATATAAAACATTTAAATATTTCATATATTATATATAAGAATTAAATCATCAGTCGAGTTCGGATATTTATCGAATTGAAGTAGGTTATATCCGAATTCGACCAATTAGATATTTGAATTATCTGAATTCGATTTGTTTATGTCGAATCTCAAATTTGAAATCGAATTTTCGAATACCATTAACACCCTTAGTGAGACACCCACTCCCCATCCTTGCTTAGTAGCTAAAATTCCCTACCCTACCCCAACTAGTAGTGATCATGGATCAAGCTAGACTAGGCCTAGGTTGGGCTTAGCACATATGATTAGGGTTATAGTCGAACTTGGGCCAAACCAAATTGTGGGCTTATGGCATCTAATAATAAAAATTTAATTATTTAAAAAATTAAATTAAACAATATAATAATCCATGAAAAAAATAATGCATGGGTCTAAGCTAGGTTGGGCTTGACTAGGCTTTGAGCCTATGGCACAAAAAATAAGGCATGTGCCTCATTTAAATTCTAGACTTGGCCTAGCTTGCATTATATAATTCTAGACTTGCCTATCCTTTTATAGTTGAAGGCCTAGCCTAGGACGACAACTTCATACTTGAGTTGACTCATATATTTACATATGTGAATGTTAGATTTTTCATAGTTTAGTATAAAACAAAATATATTTGCATATATATAATTTATTATTAAAAATACATAACATAATATATTATAAAATACAAATATTATGTATATTATGCATTATATAATTAATAATATATATTACATTATATTGTAAGCCAAGCCTCAAGTGTTGGACCAAAGCCCAACCTGGGACTAGGCTGGGCCAAAAATGATCACTCCAGCCCTTGGCCCATCCCCAATGGCAAGGCAACGATTTAACCCTCGTCTCCATCCTTGATGGAGATGGGGAATTCTCAACTTTTCCCTGCCTTGAAGCAACCACCTAAGAATACATCATATTCTATCATTTAAATATAAATATCAAAGAAAGATTTTGGGAATTTGAGAGGAGTGAGATTTCTAAGTCACCTTCTATACTCGGGGGTATTTTAGAAATTAACATTAAATTTAGAAGTATTTTAATAATTTATTATTGAATTTGGGGAAAATTTCTAATAGGTACCTTATACTTTAGATCAATGTCAATTTAGTACCTGAACTTTAAAATCTGACAATCTAATACCCGAATTTTTGCCACAATCTAATACCTAACGGTCCATGTATATCACGTGACTTCAAGTGCGATTTAAAATTTTTCAAAATGTCAAAATTACCCTTAAACACTGTTCCTCATCAGAAAATGAAAAAGAAACAAAGAGTTACTTCAATCTCTAGCAAACCTCCAAGCACCGGATTTGGTAACAGCAGATATGGTGGTCGCCCGCTGGGCTTATCTTCATCTGCGTGGCGGCCTCTGCATCAGTAGCCTCAAGCTGGTTCGGGTATGAGAGTCGTTTTCCTTGGAGGCTCTAGTACAAGAAGGGAGTGTTGTGGAACCGATGTCTTCTTGCCTCGTAGGATGGGTAGCCCAGCTGAATCCCGGAAAAAACCAGGTAATTTTTGTTCCCTTCTAAAACCTCTGTTCCTTTTCTCTTTCTATGAGCTATGTCTTTTACAGGGGCGTTGTTCTCATTGATGTGTTGTTTGTTTGATGGAGTTGGGTTTTAGTGATTCGTTTTTTTCCCATGCGATTTCTTTTTAATTTGTTCGGGGCCTGTATAAGTTTTTTTTTTTCCTTTCATCTGGATGTCTGTTACAAATACTGGGTTTGTATTTCGGTTCGTTTTGATGAGTTGTTTTTGGGTGGCCGGAGGTGGTAGTATTTGTTTTGCATCTGGGTTTCATGGGGTTAACTTGTGTTTTTTTTATATCAGCGTGTTCGACAGTTCTACTTCCTGCAAGAGTGGTGCATGCCTTGAAGTTGAACTTCGACGACATGGGTGCTCGTCCACGCATCCATGGAGTTTTTGCTGCAACTGAAAATGGTAGGCGAGTTATTGAGTTTCCTCAACTCCCTTTTCAAGTTGGTGACGCATACACCGGATATTGCAGATCTGGTGACTGCTCGGAGTAATGCCTCCTTGTCTCAACAGAAGAGGAGCTACCGCTCTCAGGGATCTATGAACCATGATATACGCCTCCCCCAAGATTGGACTACAACAGTTTTACTAATCTACTACTGATGTTTCAGTTCTGCTGGGAATAATGTAGAAAATGAAGAAAGAAGATAAGAGGGAAGTTTAGGAGTTGATTATGGTGAAATTTTATTTTTGATTGGGAAAAAGAAGATTTTACTGAAGAAGAAGAAATGGTTTTTTGTTAGGTAGTAGGGGAAACAAATAAATACGAGTCTGTATACATCAGTTGTTGCCGTTTCTCTGGTAAACAATAGAACAGGGGTCAGTACCATCGGTGGATCTCAATTTTGGATGAAGCTGTGAGCGATGGAAACGGCATGTTTCAGAAGAGCAAAAGAAATTCCAGTGCAGTGCAGTATCCCAAAGAACAACCAAAAAAGGTAATGGTGAGTGAGAAGAAGCAAACAGAAGTGCTTGAAAAGGTTTTTCCGTCAAAGAGAAGAGGCGAGATGATGAATAGGCGGCATTGCCGGTCTGGTTTCACCGGATGGTTGATAAAGAAAATTAGATGACACTTGAAGGAAATTTTTATCATTTTGCATATCATTTAATGGTTGGTTAACATTGGATATTAAATCGTCACAAAATAAAAATCCGGGTACTAGATTGTCACGATTATTTTAAAGTTCAGGTACTAAATTAACACTCAATCTAAAGTACAGGATACCTATCGAAAATTTTCCCTTAAATTTGTGGCGAGTTCAAGGAATTATATGTAGACTCTATCCTCACCTCATCTTCATTTTACATGGGCGAAAACCCATCCCATTTGTAGTGAGGCAGGGACCCACTTTTATGGGCAATATTTCCATCCTTGACCATGAGTTCAATGGCAATAAGATATAGAAAAAAGTAAATAAATACACGAACCATGAGAATACAAGATTTATGCTGTTCGGTTGATTGCATATGTCTCTAGGGAAAGCAAATACAAATAAAATGTCCACCACAATGAGAAAGGATGAGAGACCTAGAAGTAGAGAGAGACAAAATTGCCACAAAGGTATTCTCTTCCCAAATACTATATTTTATCCCACAAACCATGTTTTCTCCCAACCGACAATTTTGAATTTAATCTGAAAAATGATCTTTAGACTAAAAGTGAAGAACTCAAAACACAACACAAGACATGAATTGTAGAGGATCCAAGGAACGACCCACAGGCCAAACTCAAAAATCTCTCGCATCACAAAAGGTTAAAAATGCCCAAAGCATATATTTATAAATATACACGGACCCTTTTCCATGTACAATGAAACCCGTGTGATACCAGTTTCAAAATAGGAAACCGAGACTACAACTTTCATTACAATTAAAAACAATAAAAAAATCACAATAAAACGAGTTTGGATTTTCTATCCAATACCCACATCTACCTACATAAAATCGCAGCCACACATGGGGAATATCTCATCCTCTTATATGTTATTATGCACGGGAAGATGTTCATAATGCATATGTTATTATAAACAGGAGATATTCTTAAATGCATGGAGGTAGTGTTTTGTAGGTAGGCGTGGATAAGAGATCTGGAGTCCAATAAAACCACATTCTCTCTATCTCTCTACAAATCTCTAGAGATGGAGCTGAATCTAAATAAGTCACTTGCCCATGTACATGGATCCTTTGCTCACCTGTGCTTGAAGATCTTAAGGCCCCGTTCACTTTTCAGTAAGTCACTTGCCCATATTCTTTTCTTTCTCATGTAAATAAGGCAATGACCATTTTAGTCATAAAAATTCATTATTACAAGGGGCATTTTTGTCCCATTCAAATGTTGACAATTTTTCCCCAATGTGGGAAAGTTATTTATCCACCTAAGAGACTTGGTAAGTGATACCTAGGAACATAAACTTTCCCCCCTCTCAAAATCCAGAAAAAGAACGCCCCCAAGAGTTATGGCTGCATTTGGATGCTATGTAAATACTGGGCCAGATGAGTTATGCACTCATTGGTTTAAAAAAGTGGCACTTATTGATGTAAATTTTTATGAGAGTGAAATTTTCCACGGTTATCGATGTAAAATTTGATTTGTGAGGAATTTTACATCAATTTTTGGTGATAATTTACATTTCATCCAAACGACTACAAAATCAGATTAAAGTGTAAAACTACACGAGTTTGGTATTTACACCACAAACAAATGCAGCCTAAAGATGTAAAGACATGAAGGCAATGGGCAATAGTAGAAGCAATAGAACTAACCTGATATTTGTTAAACATGCCTAAAAGAAAACCTTGCAAAAAAATTCATAACGGACAAGTCATACAAGGGAAATCGAAGAAAAAGAAGAACAGGGAGTATAAAAATAAGAAAAGGTGGTTGATTTCCCTATTTTATTTGCTGAACAAAATTGTGTTTTTTACAGACCTTGTCTCAGCCTTGACCTTGTAGAATTTGTGAGTTAATTAACCCTGAACCAATCCTATCATGAATCAGGCTTATTGGGTCATTGGGTCTGACCACATAAGACCTACAAATTATATTTGGCGTACCTTTAGCTTGGTAATTTGTAGGGAAAATAAAATTTCTTTTATTCTAAAGTAAAAGTATACTTAAAATGTGGAATAGAGTATTCTTGTCTTTTCAAAAGTCTAAATAAGGAATAGGATAACATGTGAGCCATAAATATGTGGGTCTTTTTTACACAACTAAAATTGACAAGTTGTTAATATAGGAGAGGTAAGTAAAAGCAATGTCAAAATGTCAAGGGAAGCTATTAATAATTGATGTTCAGTAAATCTAACTAACAGCAACAAGAAAGTTTAATAGTTCTTACAAAATTTTTCTTTAATTCTTATTCTTTCTTCAAAGAAAGGAATACTATGCAACTATTGGGTTCTTTCCTTCAAACCTTCCCTTTATTGTACATTCAATCCTTTATCTCAAAGTCATCTTACTCTTTGAAGAAGAAAGGAATACTATATGCAACTCTTGGGTTATTGGCCTTTCATATATGGTGGGATCCATAAAAATACAATTAAATGAAGGGTAACAGGCTAGAACCTCCCTTTAACTTTATGCTAAATATTAACATCTCCCTTATCTTTTTAAAATGGATCCAACGGAATAATCCAAAACACAAATACACCATTACTTTTTATAGGTTTAATGCTGGGTATAATTGTCTGGATAATGAATGATGCACAAGATGTTCCTTAGAGATCAACTCATCAGTAATGCTTCCAAATTCTGATAATCTTTGACAGACAAGAGCAAGATGGATGCACAACCCGAGCTCTTCACCCACATCATTCCTAACAAGACCAACAACACCCTATCCATTATTATTGATAGTGGCATTGTTAATTGGCATCACAAAGTCTGATCTGGTGAACAATCTTGGTACCATTGCAAGGTCTGGAACCAAGGAGCTCATGGAAGCCTTACCTGCTGGTATTGATGTGAGCAGGATTGGGTGTTTGTGTATTGGATTTTACTCAACTTAGCAACTTAAATGGTTATTGTTACAACGAAGCACAATGAGGAAATGGAAATGGATGAAAATTGATTGATCAACTGGACATCCCGCGCGTTGGCTAAAACAACCTGGGTTTTTAAAATACTTACAACCAACCAAGGGTTATCATAAAACAAGTGACCAATCTGGTGGTGTTTATGACAATTCATGGGGTGTTTTGATTGATCAAAGTTCTTTTGGTATCATGTCTTTCTGGTATAATAGATTTATTCCTTCAGCATATATTTGAGGGGATGTTTAAGTCTTTTACTCTTAAATAAAAAAAAAATACTGATATTTCCATATCAGTTCGACTATGATATCAGGAACATATGATATCTGAAAAGGGAAAGAGGCTCATAGCATATTTAACAGTCTAGAGCATGATAAAGATAGCTAACTTAGTATTACGAAATAACTACAATGAGTTTTGTATAAAACTAATGTATCATGTGGAGAGAGAACCTGTTGGAAGCACCGGGCTGTTAATTTAGACACAGCTAAATGTTTTTCCAAAACATAATTAAGCGGGTGCATGTGAATTATGATCCACACCCAGTGTGTCTAAAAAGAAACTGGGAAACTCAGAAAACTCAGCCAAATAACCCAGTCAATCCAACTCGGGGCTCAGCCAATGCAACCTTATACCGATCCAAAACTTATGTTACTTTTGGTGTTGTTTCTAATTGTTTCATGCATGTTATAATGGAGACCAAGAGGGAAACTGAATTCATTGTTGAAGCCTGAAGGTGATCTTTGATAGTAGCTAAAGTGGCTGAACTGAGTGACTTTATACTTCATCTTTTAATAAATGATTAAATAATAAAATCCAATGGTATAAATAAAATCAACCCAATTTCAGCTTTAAATAATGTTACTTAAATAACTTGTTCACTAGATGATAAAGCAATAATCATTCAGTTCAGCCACTTCAGCCTCAAAATAACTTGCATCCCTAGGGGTTATTATTCCTAGCCCAGCCCAGGTCGGAGCCCAACCCAAAAGTTGCACCAACCAACCCTTATTACTGAATACTGAGTGAGGTGAGGACTACTCTACACTGACGCGAATCATGTACCTGGAGACTTGGAGTTGGAGAGTTAGAGGTGCCAAACTTACGTAATGCCAGTGTAAAAGCATCTAAAAACAAACAAATAACCTTGTATCAATTCCAATACACAGAAACCAAGGCAAGACCGTATAGATAAACTCATAAACCATAAACCCTTTTTGATTCAGTACTTGGCTTTTGAAGCAGCCCAACGATTTTTGTTTGTCAATGACTCACGGCTCCTAGACTCGGCTCAATAGTACCCGAAAGTAGTTTCAATGGCGGTCACTCCTTCTTCCACCTCATTTATCCTCTTTCGCTCTCTTTATCTGCTCTCTATTTCCTTTTTCTCCCAGAAAACCCCCTAACAGTGTATTGTTCCACTTCCATGATCGTTATCTCTTAGAGCAGTTGGCCGAAGTTGGGAATCTTTTTCTATTTATTATTTTCTATTATTATTCATTGGGCAGATGATTCTAGTGATTGAATTTCTCCATTGGTGAAATGGGTTCTTGCATAACTGTTCGGGCAAAGAAATCCGACGTGGGTTTGTCGAGAGTTGCATGAATAAAGAAAATTTTGGTGAGTATAAGGCATATTTATGCAATCTATTGCGAGTTTCATAACAAAGTTGCAGGGATTTAGAAAACTGTTTGTGAAATTGAGATTTTGGTTTTGAACGAAAGGGTGATTAGCGAGTAATTTCAGTTAGGTATATTGAAAGATTGCAGGAATTAAGAATACTGTTGGTGAGATTGGGATTTCACTTTTGATCGAGTAGGGAAAGTAGGGAAAGGGCTTCTGTTAAAATTTGACCTCAGAGAGGAAGATAGATATAGCCATGGTGAGCAAAACCAGAAATATGCTGGAGGGTCTCGTAAGAGAAGGATCGTTTAAATGGTTGCTTGGCAATCGGAGTCCCTTTGATGAGGAATTTGAGGAGATGTCTAAGTCTCCCTCTGCCAGAACAAACTGGATGCCAGAGCTCTCTCCTATTGCAAATGTAGTTGTTCGCCGATGTTCGAGGTGTGTCTGTATATTAAACTTTTATTTTGTAAATAATTTACACTTTTTTGTAACTTCAGAATCTTGGAATATATCTAGTTCGTATGGACGGTTGAATGTTTTTCTGCACTTTGTTGCTTAGTTTTGCTTTGCTTCATGATGTGCATAACAAGACCTAAACTTATTTCCGAACTACATATATGCTTGTTCTTTCCTGGAATAAATCTCGTTTTAATGATGACTATTCGTTTTCTGACTAACAATATAAAAACAAATATGTAGAATTCTGGAAATTTCTATGGATGAACTACGTAACAACTTTGATGCCGAGGCATCTGATAGCATAAAGCATTCATCGGGGTATGCAAGGAACTTTTTGGAATACTGTTGTTTCAGAGCCCTTGCTCTGTCTGTACAAGTGACTGGTTATCTTGCTGATAAGAAGTTCCGGCGCCTAACATTTGATATGATGCTAGCATGGGAGGCTCCTTCTGCTTCCAGCCAACCCTTATTAAAGGTAATTGTTAATTGGTATCTTATATCATTCTCTCTGTTGCAAAAGAGAATTCATTGATTCAAAGGGAGGGAACCATTCTCATACTGATATTTCTCAATCTTTTTCTAAATTAAGGCATACAGGAGATACTTTGTTGATCTATTATGTGTTGTACAAAAATAGTTATCTTTGGTTCCTTTAGGTCGCCTAAAATAGCCAGCTGCTTACTCTTACAACTGTTCTACCTATGCTAATAAAGGAACCATTTACTACATGGGATGAATTCCAAATTGTCCATATCTTTTCCTGACAGGTGGATGAGGAGAGTACTGTTAGTGGAGATTCTTTTTCTCGAATAGCACCAGCTATTCCTATTATTGCTGATGTAATTACTTGTGACAATCTTTTTGATGTACTTACCACATCAACTGGAGGACGACTTCAGTTCTCTGTCTACGAGAAGTACCTTAATGGATTGGAAAGGTCAGCTCTTTTGGTTTTATTTTACTCTTAAGATAATTTCTGCATTCTTCAGTTGCCTTTCCTTGTAAAAGTCACAATTAATATACGCTAAAGATGATATCAGTATCATTTATTCCACCTGCTAAATTTGTACTTACTTTATATTATATAATTTCTAGTCTAAAACTAGGTTATTGACCTCTTTCTGCTACATTTTTGTTGTCATGCCTTTTTTTTTGAAACTGCAAGGTAAAGTAATTTCATTAATAATCTTAAAACAATACAACTATGGAAACCCCTCTACAAAGAGAATCTGTACAAGATGAAAGAACCAGTATACCCGGTACAACCAGCTCCAAACCAAAAAGACTATAGGCTCCTTACAAATAGGAAATCTTGATAAAAAAAGAACATGAATGTTATTTTATTTTATTTTTTTTGAATAATGGGTGAATTGCCAACCAGGAATGCACCATTCCTGAAATCCTCCTAAACACCTCTTCTTTTGTACTGTCTCTTAAAAAAATCTACTTTTTCTTTCGCACCACACTGCCCAAAAGACTGCTGAAGGGAGGATTTTTCAAGCTAATTTTCCAGCCCTGCTTAATCCTCTTACATACCGAGCCTTGATGAATCCCTTCACATCAGACGGGAAACACATATTAACCCCAAACAAATCCAACAGTCTTATCCAAATCCAGTAGGTAGAATCACAATGTAGTAGGAAATAGCTAGAAGATTCCACACTTCCATTGCATAGTGTGCAAGCCATATCCGCTACCTCTACACCTCTTCTAACTAAATTGTCCTTGGTTAGGATCTTATCCAAATCCTGTCACTTGGAAAGGAAGAAAGGTCCTCCCCCATCAAGTTGTTGTAAAAAGATATTACAGAGAAGGTCCTCGATTTCTCAAACAACCATTTTCTTTTGTCTTCCCCCTGCTCTAGATGCTCCGAAGTCATAAAGAATCTGAAGCAGACTGACCAAAAAAGACACCTCCCAGTCATTTAAATACCTCCGGATCGAGGTGTAAAACGGGTTGTGTCGCCCTCCCCTGGGATAACTTGGGGGGTTGGACCGGCACGGCCCACGACCCAAGCGTGTGCTCCCCCGTGCCGTGCCGCGGGCTGGGCTGGCCAGTGGGCCAAGCCGGTCCGTGGATTGGGCCAAAGCTATTTATTTAAAAAAATTAAAAAAACTTAAAATTTTAATTTTATAGGAATTTTGATGTATACAATTGCTTATATATACAATAATTAAATAAATTAGTATAATAAAATTGAAAACAATTGTTTATTTTATTAATGTAATATATTAATAAAATAAACAATTGTTTTCAATTTTATTATACTAATTTATTTAATTATTGTATATATAAAATTTTATTAATATATTATATACTAGCCGGCCCAGCCCGCTGACCTAAAACCCAGGCCTAGCATAGCCCACACGATCGTGCTGGGCCTGGCACGGCCTGTGTGCCGTCGTGCTAGGCTGCGGGCGACATGGCCCGATTTACACCTCTACCTCTGGAAATGAGAGTTCCAAATACAAAGTCCATTTTGCCTCTCCAAGTAATCAACCACTGTTGCATCCTTGTTTATAGCAATCTCGAACAGATCGGGGAATATTTTTTTTTTGATGGATAACAGATCAGGGAATATGACCCTTAATGGACCATCCCCACACCAATAATCCTTCCAAAAAAGCACTCTCTGACCATTGCCCACTTCATACCTTATACGCTTCATATACTGTAGACAAATTTTCTAATTTCCTTCCAAATTGAACACCCATAAGAGGATAAGAGGATAAGAGGATCTTACTTCTTCTGTCTCCCACTCCTTGCTGCTAGAACGATACTTGGATGCAATTAACCTTCTCCACAAACTGTCCGGTTGGTCATTGAATCTCCACAAACACTTACCTAACAAGGCAGTGTTGATCTCTTTTACTGATCTGATTCCTAAAAGTAGTCGATCAAGACTACAATCAGTCTTGAATTCGAAAGTAAAAGAAAAGAATTTCAGAAGAAGAAAAGAAGAAGAGAGGGAGAAAAACAGAAACACACGAAGGGTTTTTAGAAAAGAGAGAGAAGGTCGAATTATGTAGATCTGCCGATCCACTCTTAATATTTATATGTTGACTAATTGTAAAAGGGCCTAATTGCCCTTATTGCTTACATGGCAAATAAACTAATAATAAAGCTGAAATAACAAGCTGTAACAACAAACTGAAATAACTACCAACTAACACTGA